CTCGGAAAAACATTGTATGCAAATTAGGACCCACCAAACGCGATCAAGTGAGGTTGAAAAGACTCCAGCAGACAAATGTTTCTTACTTAAGGCTGAAGTAAATTTAAAATCAAACACACATATACACATTTGTCATAATATAGCTTAGTAAAAATTAATCATAAGAGCGCAAGATCCCTCAGTGTCATCAATATGACATGTTTCCTAATCCTAGATCTAAACCATGCATAGCAATTAAACTTATATTTACCCCAACGTTAAAGAAATGTCCTAACGAATACATGTGACTCTTTAAACAATTCTAAGATCTGAAGATATTGACAAGTGATTGCCGTCGGGATTAGAACCGTGTATAAAAAATACTATTATCAACGGGAATACAAGCGGTTAACCACAATCAACATAATTGTGGTAAGCCACAGCATTATTTGACTTATATTTTCCGGGAGAAAATTATAACTTTTATGTTACACTACCACAAAAATGAAATAAATCCATTCATGCTTGTATACATATACAATATATGTACACTGCACTATCGATTCCAACAACACCTATACTACGTAAATGTAAAATTAGTCTCTATCTATTGAATATGAGCGGTGGCAGACTGCCAAAAAGAAGCCGGTATACAACGTTCAGGGACAGTATCAACTTCACAAGCAGACTGGCGAAAGCACACTCACTGAAGCACATGAGGTAAGCATGAGGTAAGAAATTAAGCATCAAGATCTAATTTTAGTGTAGGGGTGATGTCTGTGTACTGAGCAATTTTAAGGTTATACCTCCTACATACCGTCCATATATGGAAGCAGTGGATCAAAATTAAAGGTAAATAGTTCCCAACCAGTCTTATAACATATGCACGACTGTTCATAAACATGACATGAAAAACTCTTAAGGTAAAGGGCCTACTATACTTCTTTGGAAATATCCCAAAGTCATATCTTTATGTCTAAGTGTACTTCTCCTGAAGCTATGTAACTGTTTCACAATTCAGAAAAATGTTAATAGTGTCAATATTTCCGTCTTTAATGTAAAGAAAAACATGGCGTCTGTCTAGAGCTTTATAAAATAATTTCGTTAATGATATAAGACATCGAATCAAAGTGCAGGGTTGAACAATGATTTGATGCAAGAAGAATTTCTTTCTTTCTCAGGGAAAATTTAATTTGGCGTGAAACTAAGGGTAAGATTACTTGAAATTTTTGCCAGCAAGGTTGGTAACACGACACCACGACACCAGAGGGGGGTACCGTCTCTTGAGAACAAGACTTGCCGGTGCTTGTCGGCTACCTGGTAAGAAAAGGTCGATATAGTCACCGCGTGTTTTTATTTACTCCTCAGAAAGACTTCAGACTTTTGACATCCCATTCTACATGAGGTAAGAAAGTGAGCATTAGGATCTCACGGTTACTATATTAACGCCTTACTGTCACTCTAAGGTTAAAGTTTTAAGCGGAAACGAGTGTCCACAATCAGCATGCCTCTGTCCTTACCATTAAGGGAAAATAGTGCTGATATTTACTACGATCCTTTTTCAATTTCAGTGATCCATTCAGCCTCGAGGACAATGTGTTTTTCATAGTACTAATGATAATGAGGAGCATCGCTAGCGTTAGCTTTGTGCTATCCTGCATCACCCAAAGATACATCCAACAACAGGAAGCTGACCAGGCTTACATTCATTTGCTTGAAGGTATAAGAAAAAAAAACAAGACGAGGATATTTCACGACGTTCAAGACGAGAATGGGACCTAGAACTGGGCAGCAAGAACGGAACTAATTTCGAAGAGTGGAGACTTTGAAAAAACATCGAGAAAACGCGTGTTCATGGAGTCCCCTCTGCTGATGACAAGCCCCCATGGCTATGCAGTTCGCCTGAATGTTCACTTTGAAGGTGACCAAGGTCAGCGCCTATCATTCTCTCTGCGAGTCCAAAAAGGTGAGAATGACGAGGCCCTGGAATGGCCGTTTCGACCCGTTATCCGTATTGGTGTCATCAGGTCCCTCAACAAACCATTGGAATTTGAAAAGAAACTTGATTTCAAAAGTGCTGATTTGAGCCAGATCGTGGGGCTACAGCAGCCGGTGTCAGGGGAAAACCCCAAGACAGATTTGGTCACCATACAGGCCAGCGACATTTTGAAACGTGGATGTTTAATTGAAGGAACACTGTACATGTACGTAGAGTGTACTATTTAAAAGACACATTTACTAATCTTGATCAAAAGTGCACTATCCAATGCTAAAAGGGTGCACAAGTGAGTGACAATTAGTGACATTCTGTCCAGGAAGGTTTTTACTATATCTAGAACACGAGTTAACTATACTTAAATTGTGACTACTTCGAGATTTGTATAATGGGGTTTGACATGCTCTGCAGTGCTAATTCCAAGAAATGTAAGTGAATGTATAGAGGACATACTAAAACCCTCTTTCTGATTGACGATATTATGGATGTATTGTGTGATAATTCGTTATATTATCCATGCTGCAGTAATTTACTTTCCGGTTGTGGAAAATAAGGCAATTCATTTGAACTTTTAACTAGTTAAAAAGTATATGTGCCTGTTCTTAGAGATACAGTTTTTCTGTGGAATATATTAGCCCATGGGGTCTGCACATGTTAATAATCTTTAAGAAGTTGCCGTGAAAAAAACACACGCCACCAATTCATACAGTCTTGGGCGTGTATACTGGGACCAAGATAGAGGTAGAGCGACATCTATAAGATGTCACTTCTTAAATACCTTTATCAAACCGTTACTTTACAATTTCTATTTAAAAAAGTTATAATCATATTACAATTCCTACCTTGTGCGTTCATATGCCTTAAATATCCAATTTTGGAGGGGTCTTTAAAGCGTAAAGATCCGTTAACGCGGCAAAATGTCCACGCAGTCTCCATTTTATCCCTATGCGTCTCATGACCTTAGAAAAACTTTGTTCAACGATATTGGCATATCATTGCAACAAAAAAAAAGGCTCCCTTACAGTTTATTGATGGTTGAGTAAAAAGGTTTTTCCAATGATTGCTCAAACTTTTTATAATAGATGCAGTGTAGGTTTACTATTGACTTACGTTGGGATATCAACAAAGCATTCATTCACCTGTGCGGGCTAAGGTCATGAAAATTGTACACAGGTTTGTTCAAAAGAAGGCGCACTCCAGTCTTTATTTCCATTACATGAAATCTACCTGTATCATAGTAGTTGGTTTAGTTCCCTCATTTATAGGATAATGCAAAGGTGTTACCATTTAAGCATAGCAGTGGTATAAAATTGAAATCATGTTTAGACTGAACTATCTTAATCCTTCACAAATTCGATATGACATTTACTTCTCCGAATTATTAATTCTGCTTTACCTACAATTCTCCCAATGTACCCGAGTAGCTCTTTAATATTTAATAAAAACAATTAACATACACTTCTTATCGATTTGTGTAGAATGTAGTACATGCCCTGATTCTATGCTGCATTATAGTAATAATGATAATAATGATTCTAAGCAACTAGATAAAATCTAGTAATGAACCACCAGCTGTCTGTACATGTGAAATGAAAGCTTTGGTTTAATGAATAAGTTACTTGTTATATCGGTGTTATAAAGGATAAATTATTTAAGGTTTAATTATTTAAGAGAGAGCGTTGAAGGAAGCCCTGCTAAAAAGTCAAAATTGAGGGTCTACAGGAAATCAAAAGAAGTTGGAAGATAGAATGTGTATGTTTTGTAATGAAAAAGTAGAAAATGAGTATCATTTTTTTTCACTGCTGAGTTTATGAAATTTCAGGCAAAAATGGTATCAAAAGGGAAAATGAGCGATTGCATCTTTCCTGATCTGGAGGTGGTTAAAGAGAGACCTTGAGTGCTCTTCCCAGACTTTCACAGGAGCACAACAAGTTCCTCATTAACTGCTTCCAGGTCAGAAAAGCTCTGATATAACTCATGGTATAGCTGGTGACTTTGTAAACCCACAGGGCTTTACCGATATATATTCTTAATCATATATTATGTATCATAAATATATATATATATATAATCGATACTGCAAAGGAGTAAAGCNGGGGATCGATTAAAACATACCTCTAGTGTATAGATTGAGTGCTGTATCTTCAAAATACGAGAAATGGATTTTTACAACATTGAACATTGTCCTTTAATATTCAACTTTTTTATAACTTACTTCACTGTTTTATAACTGAATACTGATACATCATTAAAGTGAAATACACCCGATTTTAGTAATAAACGTACAAAGTATGTTAAGTACCTTTAAATGACGCTGGCTTTTCTGTACGACTGTAAAAAAATTCATTAATATTTATCTACTATAAGAAAGATAAAAGCGAGAGCCACTTCACTAGACTCTGTAATGTAAATTTGTTTATAATTGATATTACTATGAAAAGTTTCGATTTCAAATATATGCAGTGATAAAAAAGTATTCGTTCTCATGTCAATTTCTGCCTCAACGAAAATACAAATCATACTCTAATCATAAACATCGTAACAATTTTATTTTTCATTTCTTTAAAATAAAACTGATTCATTACAAATTTCTAATGTTATGATAAAAAAAACTGACGAACATTTTGAATTGGGGAGGTCAATTAGTCTGATGCTACTTCTGTGTGGAAAAATTACACTTCAAAACTCCTCACACTTTAAGAAATTTTATGGGGAAAAAGTCTATTGCAGCTTAAATTTTAAGTTATATATTCAACTTGTACTTCACTATCTATAACTGAATACTGATACTCCACGACAGAAGTGAAATACATCGGCCTTTAACAACAGACGTACAAATTATATTTAATACTTTGAAATGACGCTGGTTTTTCTGTATTACTGTAAGAAGATTATCAATATTTATATACCATAAGAAAAGTATAAACGAGAGCCATTTCACTAGACTCTGTAATGTAAATCTGTCTATAATTGATGTAACTGTGAATAGTTTCGTTTTCAAATATATGCCGTTATACGAGTTCTCATGGTGAATAAGAGATCGTCAGTCCCCACCAGGTTTAAGAACTGCCACCGTTTTGATGCAGTACCGGAAGGTACCGGGATTGTAAAAAAAAATTGTCTGCACAATTCGTTTGGCTGCGTTAAAACATCATTAACAACCTTCACGGTATTTGTTTTAAGTCACAGGTTTATAGCAACTACAAAAATTCTTTGTATAGTTTTTTTTTTCTAGTTAGCTGTTATAGCAGTTTTTCCTTTAAGGCGCCATGCCTTCCCACTCCACGAGGTATTGCACTCTCCCATCTGGCGTCACCCTTCTGGCCAGCACAGTGAAACGCTCTCCCTTTGCCAGTCTATCCACGGCACCGAAATAGTTCTTTACACTGTTCTTTAAGTGATTGAGATTCACCTCAGTTTTGCGCACGCCGTTGATTTGAGCTGGATCCACGGCGTTGGTGAATAGCTGAGTTTGTTGTTCTCGGACAGGTGGCTGTGATAAGTTACGACAACGTCCCCTGTTGGGAGACTGTGGCACCTCTTTTGCCTGCGCCTCAAGATGAGCCAATGCCTCGAGGCGAAGCTTCTCAGCTCGAGATTTTCGCCCGCGTTTCTTCCTCGGGCTGCCGTTTATTGAGGTAGGGGGCGTGGCGACTAGTCCATTCGTCCTGCCAGTAGCAACATACGAAGCTGACGCCATGACGGTCTGCCCGGTTTGGAGATCTGAAAAAACGGACTCCCCTTCGTCTTCCTCTTCCTGCGACTGCTCGCTCTCAGTGGCCCCATTTTGGTACCAATCTAAAATCCTCGCCTTTAATTCTATCTGTTCTATTTCTTTATTTCTCTCCACAACAGTCTTGAAAGGGTGATTGTATCCCTCGTAGCTACTGGGGCGAGGAATGAAGTAATCAAGAGCACTCTGGGATGAAGTTTCCAAATATTCGCTCTCGTCATCGTCGTTGTTGTTGGTATCAACATCCGAGTCCTCGTCATGGAAATCGTACACAGACATGTTTCCGTTGTAACCTTTGTAGGTAGTGTTGGCACTGATAAATCTGCGCATATTTCCCTGAAAGTAAATGAGATTTTTTAATAATCTTCAGATTTCCAGCAACGTATAATCGGTACATGAGCTTGTTGGGTGGCCTGATATGCTAACATATTATCAAAATTGAGAAATACTCTAGGTGAGTACTTAATAATAAATAACTACTGTAACAAACCTTGGTCTACCTATCACTTTGCCATGACCTTTCACTTACCTTCGCATATGCCTTCATCAACATATCCTTGGCTAGTTTAGTTCTTGCCTCTACATCTTCACTGTCACACTTTCTTTTAGGGTGCTTTGGGTGCTTTAGGGGTATGGGCGAGTTGCTTAAAAAGGAAGGGAATATAGTAAGAAAAATGCAATAAGTTTATCTTAGATCTTATCTATATTTTTAAAGGGCAACTGCATGGGATTTACCCAGATTTTCCTGAGGAAATAAGAATTTTTCTTGTACTCACAAATCATTTATCAACCCCCCTCTGCACTTGGATCTGACCTTCACTTGAATTCATGAAGGTTGATTTAGTTTTAAATAACTGGCCAGTCATTATAACCAGCGACCATCTTCCCAAACTCCAATGGCAATATCAACATCAGGTACGCTCCAGAAATAATTATTTAAGGGGTTAAATCGTTTTCAAAGTGTATGTAACTTTGTAAGGTTTTATATAAAGCTGTGGATGGCACAACATGAGCATCTGGGGGATTTTCAAACCCATGGAGAGTACCTTTTAATTCTGAGGCTGGGGTTTCTATTTCAAGTTTGGCAAATATGTAGAGACTGTACAGAACACAAAAAAGTAATCATACAAATCTGAAAATTCAGAACATGGCTGTTTGTACATAAAATATAGAGTGTAAAGATAAAGAAATATATTTCAACATCGTCTTCTGCTAAATTTCTGATTGATTTTTCATACCTTTCAATTGGCACAAAAGTTTTTGTTTTTCGGCCTTTCATTTGCAAGTTATTCATAACTTCATCTGTTATTTGTCCATCTTCTGGGAGAATAACGGTGGGAGCTGGGGGAGGAAGGCGCACCCTCAGACCCCATAAAGTCACTTTCTTCTTGATTTCACGCCCCCATGCAAACCTGATAAAACAACAACAGTCGTATTGAATATATGGACATAGATAATTTGCCAAAATCAATGCACTATTAATTAAGTAAAATGGGGTTAGATTTCAAAATGGAAAATTTTATATTAAATCTACTCCTTTAATAACGAAGACAGACAACAAGAACATGTTGGCATCCCCTTCTACCCAGCAGAGTGAAACACTTTCCTTTTGCCAGTCTATCCAAGGCACTAAAATAGTTTTTTTATGCTGTTTTTCAAGAGATTGAGATTCACCTCAGTTTTGAGCAAATTGTGGGTGATTCAATTAAAACAATCAAAGCTTGATAAAAAAAAACTTATCCCATCCATGGCCAAATTCTAAGTTTTCACATTCAGGCAAACTAATTACGCCAATGATAAAAAATGTTACACCAAAGTAATTCTTTAAATAAGAATTTTAGGTAATTCTTAAAGGAGACAATAAGCTTAATGCTCATTTTGACACCTGGTATAACTACAATACCTCGTTTTATTCCCCTGCAGTGTTTCCAGCAAGGTTCTGGCCCTCTCACCACGGGTGGTACTGTCCAGCTGGGAAGTTAATAATATAAATATAATGAGAATTTTGGATTTCTTATTTGCAGAATATTTGCCCCAAAAATAAACCAAATGCCTATTTCTTAAGAACCATTTTTTCTTCTTATCAAGCTTCATTACTGCCTCAATAAATCAACAGAAACCAACATGCAAAGTGAAAGACACTGTAACAAAGACAATCATCAAACAGCAATAATTAGTCCTGAGAAAGTCATATCAACCATCAAAGCATCATAATGCTATATTTTTATCAATATGTTTTTGGAATAACATACAAATATTTATTGTTTAGAAGAATTGCAAAATCTGGTTTTGAAGAGCCAACAAAAATTTCACAAAAAGCTGAAATTAATTCAATGTGGCCACCCCAATCTGTTAAATCCGATCCTAATATATATTATTCTTCTACAAAAGCAAGCCAAAATTTTTAAAAATAATATTATACTCACATGGTTGACCTGTAGTCTCTCCCAGTTCTGGTTTATCCAGGGCATAAAATTCTCATCAAAGTCATAATACTTCTTGTTGTGCTGCAGTGTAAGGTTGAACAAGGCAAGCTGGGCCACATCCATCCTAAAATGAGGGCAAGGTCAAAGGGTCAAGGTCAGCACACTGGTTAGTCAAAGTTAAATAAAAATTATAGTCAACAAATACCTTACTTTATCAAATGTATTATCTAGATACACTAATATACATTCATAAAACAGATGAAAAACAACACAGGCCAGTTCACAAAAAATAGTTATAATCTAATACATATAAATTATTATTACATATAGGCTGATGGCAGCCCATACAGTTTTCTATACAAGCTAAAATATTCTACCTTTTTTTTAGAGAGAGAAATATTTTATTTTAATCTAATTTGATGGTTATTTTGTCTTATCACCACAAAATGATATCAAAAGTTTTAAATACCATTTGAGTTCCAGTCTTTTGACATACTCAATGCCTCCATTACACATAGTGCAGACAAAAATGTAGAACCTGTCCCCATACAGCAAGGTGTAGCTCAAACACTGGGTACATGCTGGAATAACACAGGAATTGTGAACATAATAATCCATAATAATAATAAAAACAATAATAAATTTAATAATAATAATTTCTACAGAACTGTACCACACAATTTGTCTCAACTAACCATGCTCATCTAAAATTACCAATTTGTCAGAAAGTTTTTTTTTCCAAATTATATATAACTTGCAACACCCTAGCAAAAGCTATACTAAGTTACTTGAAAAGGTATTCCTAGATTTGGTTACTGTTTCACAGATGAGGTGAGTAGTTAATGTAATCACACTCACCCTCATGGAACCACTGCCGACAACGACAACACTGCAACATTTTCATGTACCAGCTGGAAGAGAAAGCATCCATTTAAACAGTAATTTTGATTATTAACACAGACCTTAAAATTTTTTTTTCATTGCAGGATTGTTTTCATGTAAATACAAAACCTCTACTTCCCCTGTGAAAATTTGTCTCATTTAATGTTCACTTACTGTTCTCTATTCTTGAATATTTGGTGTATTTTTTTTTTTTTTTACAGTTCTTATGTAGTTCTGTAATGAATATACAGTTCGAGAACTGTTTTTGGAAAGTCCTTCAAAATGTCCTAGAACAGATTAAGAACATTTTTCATTAACAGAGAAAAACATTATGTTCTAGGACAGATTGAGAACCGTAAGTGAGCGTTTAATGAGACCAATTTTTGCAGGGGTTTATTTTATAGGGCTGAAAAAACATGTGTGTTGTAGTTTCACACCTGATTGAATCATTCAGTGTTACATATCCTAAAATACTGAAAGTCGTTTTGAGAGAAAACTTACTCCCCAGGTCCCCCACAATAACAGTATCTCTGGTCACTGTTGGTCTTGTGCTGGGTGTCCCAGTTTAATGTGCTCATCTGAAAAACAATACCATTTACAATCACAGCATCAGCAATGACAACAATATCACCCTGTGCTGGTTGTTTGACAGAGACCATATTGTCATTAAACTAGGATGACAGATCCAAGTTGAGTGGTGGTCTTTTAACCCTTTTTATCCCAGGTGTGTGATGGTCTTTTTAGCCCTTTTTATTCCAAAATGTGCAATGTAAGACACTGGTCCTACATCCATGGGCAATAAACTTAGTTTAGACCAGTAGTTTTTTTTAAGAATGTGTGAATTCAGTGGTTGTACAGGGTTATTAGATTTTTTACTATGTTTTCAAAAGAGCTTTTGATCTGACTTAATTTTTTTCAGAAATATATCCCCACAATTATGTTATTATTAAATTACTAGAATTAAAGCAATAGGAGAAAGTGTCCAGTCTTAATGAAATTTTTATTTGGACCCAATGAGCCCTGATTGGCACTAGTAGATTTTACTATACTAATGGGTCCAACGGCCAGTTATCTGAAACGTTTATGGCACAGACTGTTCCAGTGACTTGCTATTCATCACCTCCTAAGCTGATTAATTTGTCAACGAGTCTTTTCAGGTTGGCGGCAAACGGTAACAGAAATGAGAGAACAAAAACATTGCTATCTGAATGTTCTGCAAGCAACATTAAACTTGTTGCTAAGATAATAATGTACATCTTGGCTTAACTGAAAACACATCAGCTCATTGTTAGCTGATCAGCACAAAAGCACATTCTCAAAATCAAATTGGAGATTATGACAAACATTTCTCTCTTAAACCTTTATTCATTTAAAACTTTATTGACAAAAACTGCTATCCCCAAAAATTTGAAGTACCAGTAGTTATCAAGTTCACATAGAATGATATAGGACACATAAGACTAAATAAAAGAGCCTACTTACAGCATATGGCAAAACTCTTTTTACTGGTTTCAAGGGACCCTTTCTTTGATACGTTCCTTTCTGAAATACAAGCATATTGTACAAGCATATCATAATTTCATTATACTTCTGATTATTGCTGTATTAGACTAACCCAAAAAGGCAAAACAAAAATATTTAACTTCAGAAACAGGTAATGAAAGACACTGATATACTAGAGGTTTTTTTACATTGGAAATCCTATTTATCTTGGTAGTTTCCCATCAAAGCCCCCCCCCCCCTCCCCAAGATCCTTGTTTGTAAGGTTACCTTGCCATTTCTTAATACATTTTTCTTATCACTCGAAATCATGTTTGAGATAAATTTATCATCATACCTATCAAGTTGTCCACAAAGTATTTATTTAATCGTTACAATTTACCAAAACAACCAAATTAAATTAGAGCCCAGTGATTTCATTTACCTTGTAACTGGTAGCAAATACACACTGCCTACACAGCCAAGGGACATCAGGCTTCAGAATATCACTCTCTATTGGTGGGATGTGGCACTCCTGGTGATAACCTATACAAGTAAAGAACTTCAGTACTAAAAAAATATACAGTTAAAATCATACCGCAGAAACATCTTAAAGTGTAATTTAAAATACTTCTTTAATTTTCACTTTGCGTTTGCAACTGTTATTCAAATAAGTTTTTTAATCTCATCATTTTCATTTTCTGATAAGAATTCGATCTGTTCTACAGTACTATCAAATAATATTTATCTGACACGATCAACAATGTTAATTTGGGCAAATATAACTGTCCAATTTTCTCTACATCTCTTCATATTCAGCAATTACTGTACACAAATTTCTTCCAAATCACTCCCTAAATCTATCAAAGCATCACACCAACAAAGCCCAATCTAGAGATACCTACCCAGACCACAGTTGTCACACAACACTAGAGACACCTACCCAGACCACAGTTGTCACACAACACTAGAGACACCTACCCAGACCACAGTTGTCACACAGCACTAGAGACACCTACCCAGACCACAGTTGTCACACAGCACTAGAGACACCTACCCAGACCACAGTTGTCACACAGCACTATCTCGTTGGGTTGTTCGGAGGTTTCACCTTGGCAAGTACAACAATGGATCTCTCCCTGGCTGGGCCCTGTGAATTTAACTGGAATTACTTTCTATTCATAATTGTAAAATAAGTGCTGATTTACCATGTCAGCATCTAGATCAGTTTTTTTTTTTAGGTTTTGGTTTAGCAAAACATCTAAAATATAAGTTCATCTACAGGAATTTGTAAGCAGTTATATTCTTGTGGTTACTTTTGATTGATAAATTACTCAGGATTTGTCCAAAATTAATTTTGAAATGGCCAAATGATAAATAATAGAACCTAAATAAAAATTATGCATGATGACACTCAGCTTGCAACAGAATATCTTAAATTCCTATGGAAATATTCAAAGCATGGTGAGTCTATAGATATTCTTTGTCTTGAATACATGTGTATATTGAAGTTAAAACATTACCTCTCTGTATGTGCCTAAACAATGCCCAATAACAGGAGTCGTCCTCAAACTTCACAAAACATTTCTCTACTTTGGAGTCCACCTGAAGTCCAATTAAAAGAACATATAACACTCAAGCAACAAAAATTTTCAGTTCAAATTAGACTTCAAATAAATGTGATAGCATGGTCGTGGGGCTGCCATGGCAACTATTACCTTCAGTAAAGTTCCCAGATACAACAGGCCGTCACTCCAAGTCACCAACACTTCCTGTCCTTCCCAGAAAGTCTTGTCGTCCTGGGGTTTGTCTGTACTGTGCGTAGACCCAGCCTTACTTCTCCTGCGACTTTCAGACTCATTTTCAGTATCAAGCTCAGTTTCTGTGCAAGTTGTGGAGTCACCAGCAGCATGTTTGCCATCTATGTTTGTAAACAATTAACGGAATTAAATAGCAAATAACATGATGTACATTTAAACAATGAACTGTGTACAAGATCTTGTTTTTGACCAAAGTTAGAAATCACAAAGGAATCCAAATATATCAAAACCTAGTTATGAACTTATCAAGCTGAAACTTGTATGCTGCACACTCCATCTAAAAAAAACATTTTGAGATGAAAATGCTCAAATACTAGTAAAAAAAAGGCAATCAAGTGACTTTGAAAAAAGTAAGGACATTTTTGTCTTAATAAAAAATAATAATAATAAAAAAAAAACAATTGATATAACAGTTAATTTTAGGCAATGTATCTTTCAAGTTATATGTTCAGTCTACAGAACACATACAGACCTTCTAAATGCCTATATCTCAACAATTTCTTCATGTTTAATTTATTTTGTATGAAAAAGTTTAGATATATTACTTACTGCACACAGATGAAATGATTCTTCTCTTGCGTATTTTCTTCATGCTTGCCGAACGTGCCATGCCCTCAGTTTTGGCTCTTCTTGTTGGCGTAACCTTGACATTTTTATCCATGTCTGATGTTCTCAATCTTTTGGCCACTGGGGATTTAGGAGAGCCTTTAGATGACTTCCGCTTCTTCACTTTCACCTGAGAACGGTCTGACTTATCATCATCATAGACAGATTCCCCGTCTGATGAAGAGGAGGAATAGCTAGAAGCATTGCCATTCAAAAGATGTTTGTCAGCTCTGGACTTTGGACTTCTCCTTATGCTAGTTTTAAAGTAGATCTCTGTGGTGTCAGTGTCAGTGGACTCATCATCTCGCTCACCAGCACTGGATGTATCAGTCTTGCCAGATTTTGCCTTCATTCTCACTGGAGTTTCTCCCACCATAGAAGAAATGCTACCAACACCCTGTTTCTCTTTAAGTTTATTTGCCTTTAATGGCATTGTCCCATTACTAGATAAGGGTGATAGATCAGTACTCGTTGTAGGTGGTGCTACCTGTCGAACTTTCTGTCTGGACTGACTTAGTGGGGAAACAGCAGCTCTGGTTTCTCTCCTAGGTGGAGCAGGCGGGCTGCCCATGTCCATTTGTTTGACAGGTTTATTCAAAGCAGCTTTTAACTCAGTAAAGTTTTGACTAGGTGGGATGCTTGCTCTCTTTGTCTCTGACTTCAAACCTAGAATTTATACAGCAGCCTCAAAGAAGTAAGCACGTTAATGTACATAGTTTCAGTCAATTTTACACTTTTTCAAGTACTACGTTAGTTTTTGTGGTAAATTAGACAAAGCAAGTACCATTTCTTCAGATACTGAAATATGACTAAAATAATTTCACCTTAAAGCATTTACAGTAAGTGATATAAATTTTATTTCTTCACAATTAAGTTTTGACACTTTGTGAAAGGTACCCATAGCAGGAATGGGTCGTTGCCATTTAGCCTTATATGTCCATATTATTACTGCCTGCCTGTATGTAAACAGATGAGCGCATATGCACAGGCCATTATGACTAACCTTTGAGGGGTGTTGGGGTGCGTGACTTGGACTCACTCCGTCGACTACGTGTAGGACTGGGAGAACCCTTCTCTCCACCACCTCTCAACCCTCCCACTCTGGCAGGGCTTGTGCTACTTTCTCTGGAACTCATTCTGCAATGAAGCCTAATAATGACTCTCTAATGAACTGTCTTGATACAAAGTAATAGAATGGATATATTTCTGTGATATAACTTGATACCCCCCCCCCCCTCCATCGCATTCCTGCGGCACCACAGGACGCGAATAATCAAGTACATTTAGTTTCCTGCTTATATATGATATCAATCTGAATAAAGCCCAGGTCTTCCTTTTCTCCCTCTCCATCTGTACCATAAACTCGGTCCATGCTAATACCAGGCACAGAAAGGATAATGTACCGACCAAGACAACATGAGGCATTTACTTCGACAGTCTTCGTTCACAAACACCTTGCCGCCCATATATCAAAATACTCTTTAGGAAGGTCACCTCAAAACATCTCACTTAATAAATGCCAGATGACGAAATTAATCCATAGTTTTTACAAAACTTACCCGTAATACAGTCTGTCAATACGGGAGGTAGATAAAATGCTGACTATTTTCTCAATCACGGATTGAGTCGCCGTTTTCTCCCGCCATCTTTAAACTTAAACTATTCCGCTTCACGAGGCGGATGAATATTTGTATAAGTATTATATGAATTTGGACATATTCAATTGAAATGAAGCCATAATCGTATTCAGACGCTACAATTTCCGCCTTACTTTGGATATGATTCATAAATACAAACATTTGCTTAGAAATTTAAGGACTAAATTCTCTGCCCAGATGATTGAAATCGAGGCAGCAGTTGTTCGACACTTCCGTCTTAGGAAATGTGACGTACTTCTGTTGTTTGTTTATAACGTGACGACTGCACTGAATTCCTACAACACCCCCGCATACGAAGAAGCACATTGAAAAATCTAAAAACCCAGCGCCTCAGCATTGCATAGACGAACAATGACAAACCAAGGAAAGGGGGCACAGCGGGTCGCTTAACCCCCACACCAAACCACATGATTTTCCCTACCCTCTTCTCAGCCAGTAGGCCCTATAGGCCCTCAATTCTTTCCATATTTTCTACAGTAGGGCCTAAAGCCAAATGCACATTTACGTCATGATACGGAGAATATTCATCATTTTGCTTAAGTTAACAATCGGAAACAATGCGACCCGCATCGAAAGAAATAGGTTAAGTCAGTACACTAACAATTAACTCTTCAACTCTTGTAAATCTCATTTAGGCCTACTTAAAACTTAAAAGTTCGGTTGACGGGTAAATGTTTTTTTCTGGAAGAAAACAACTGTAACGCACAAAAAATAATTATCTTACACTTCAACGGGGTTGCGTAGCTATGAGGCCGGGGCCGTAGCGATAGTCCGAAGGTTCAATAGTCCGAAGGTTCATTGGTCCGAATGTTCACTATAGAACCTTCGGACCAATAAACCCTTGATTAAAAAATCGATAAAAATGTTACCACTTTTCGGACCAATGAACCTTCGGACCAATGAACCTTCGGACTCTCGAGACGCCCCCATGAGGCCTACACAGCGAACATAGGCCTACCAAGCTGTTTAAATCCTCTGTAGCAACCAAGTGTAGTTCTTACAATTAACATATTCAGTGGTCTTTAAAAATATTCAACCAACCAATTTCATTAGAATCTTACCTGCTCTCCTAGTTTAGAATTTGAAATTGACGCATTCCTCAGCCGTTTCTGGTCTGCCTGGTGTAGCAGATTATCATGAAACTCAAACCATAGTTCTCGGTGTAGGGTTATTTGGCATACATTCTGCGAGTAAATATCCATAGGCCTACATGTATTTCACCGAAAAAAAATTAACAAAACATACATATCGTCGGTCATATGACTAATGGCATAAATAGTGACTGACTGCAAAATGCTTGTTTGTAGCGCTATCAACTCTTTTTTTTTTTTTTTGTCGTCGTCGTTTTTTTTTTTTTTTTTTTTTTTTTTTTTTTTTTTTTTTTTTT